CTGAAACTCCTTTATTTCCTTGATATTTCAAACCACCAATGAAAAAGTGCATAGTGCATGTTATGTTAGCTGACAACTCAATTTTCTATTTCTGTTTCAATTTCCTCAAACCAAGAAGGTTTAAAAAACTTCTGAAAAGTACTTTCTTCTTGTCATTTTTGATAAAGTATTTTCTTTTTGTGCACTTTCCATGTGTTTTGTTGGTTCAAAGGTGCCTATCACGTCTTCTTGGAAACTGGTCAATGCAGTTGCTTTGCTAAAAAATGCACTTTTAAGTAGTGTCTCTAGCAGAACCAGCATATCTCCAGCCCCCTTGATTGAAGTCCAAGTTGTAGAGTCGGGGTCTATTAGATTTCAGGGGTCATGAGTTGTGGACCTGTTTATAGGTTTTTGATTTATTACGTTGATATAATGTGAACGATGGCAGGCACACACCTCTTTCAAGGATAACCAATGTATCATCGGTGCATGTCCAATGAGATGGGAGTACCTTTGCAGGCCAGATCACTAACTTTGTGTTTCTTCCTGAGATCATTAGACTTCTTGTTGTCCTTGCCACTTAAAAAAAAACATATGTTTGATGGTTGAATGTGGAATCAGGTGAATTGATGTGCTCTTGTGCACACTCTTATTATGACAAATGATGGCCATCATCTCCTGGAAGCTGTCTGGATTAAGGACTTCAATTTTTTAACGCCCTTGGAGTCAAAATTATGAATTCTTATGATGATCAGTTGATCCCAGTTTGTTAATAACTGAAGCTAATGTCTCCTTATTTATCATCTTTTGTCTAATCCCTAACAGATACTTCCCTCCAGCTATGTAGGACAATTGTTAACGAGATTAAATTCTTCTTCAATAGCTTCTTTGGTTGCAGTACTGACACGTGCTTACTTCAGGTGACTCATGTGGATTTCAAGAAGGCGAAAGAGAAAGTCATGTTTAAGAAGAAGGAAGGGGTGCCTGAGGGACTTTATATGTAAGAAAGAGCAGCCTCTATAAGGAACAGGTAATGCATGTATTTATTTGCTATTTAGCGATCTGGTCCTGTAAGGAGATAAAATAAAATTATGGAGTATATAGCTGCGCCTTACATGTTACCATGCTTGAATTGTGGCACGGAATTAAAAGTAAACAATACTTGTGGGTTGCAACAGTGAGCTCAAAGATGCATCTCTTTTTTCTGATTTAACGTGCGCTCTTGATTAAATACCAGATAATGCAATCTGGATCAACTAGACATTAATAAGGTACAAGCGCTGAATAATCTGTGGAAAACTCTGGAGTAATGAAATGATTTATACACCGTACTCTTGTGACACTTAAGTCTGTACCATAGAGTAATAATACCCTTATGACTTAAGCAGAAAATTCTAAATGCAAAGAATATTGCATGAAGACCAACGATGAAGAAATTTTGTGCTCATCATTTTCAAAGTTTCCAGCTTGATTATTCTTCCTATTACATTTTCATATTTATTTGATCTACTCACTGTTGTAAGCCCCGACCGTCGAACCTAGGGACACGCCTGAATATGGATATGCTTCAAACCCACCCCGGTCCAAACCTGTCTAGAGCTGATTTATTTGGGACATCCAGACAGGGTTTATTTTATTTTACCATTTCTTTTACAAAGTCTGTAAGCTTCATCTTCAACGAGGAAGTTCCTATAAGAGATCCTCCATTTTTATTAGCCTATCCTCACCGGATCGTCACCATACGATAAGTGGCAATTTATATTCTAGTCCTACCATCAGTTCCCTATTTGTAGTCTTTTTCACGGATGATATCATCATATCCTCCTTTATTAAGTTTCGGTTGCAGCAAGCAACAAGTCGCTGCTACTTGGCTCTTTCTTTCTTGTATTCTCTTCCTCAGTGCGGTGCGGTGCGGTTTTCAACGAGTTTAATGGCTCAAAGCAACTGCATCTATCACCCTAACAACATGGGCTGTTCTCATTTCAGGTGCTTAAACTGAAGACTTTGAGGCGCACATACTACGTACATGCGTATGTTCTTACTCAGGGACCAGTATTAATTGTTAAAGTTGGCATGTAAGAATCGACTTGCTCCGCTGGGTCACTTTCCTTAGTGTGGTTGCCTTTCTTTTCCTGTACCGCTACGAGAGAATGAAAACAGGGATGTTGATTTAAATGCTTTATCATTATTCTGCTGTCATTAGAGACCTTTTGCTTGCAATTGAGCCGTATGCGGACGCAAGTGTAGCTAGCTTTTTCTTGACAGAAACAGCAGTGGATAGAGTCCTGCTATCGTCGACAAATGGGTAAGGCAACGTGGCTGCCGACGATTAAAGGAGAATTGAATTTTATTATGACAATAACATTTGAAGAGCGCAGTCTTAGTCAGTAGCGCTCAGGGTCCTCCCATCTCCTGTCTTTTTCCTCCAGCTCGATCCCTCACTGCGAGGACCGGCTGCTGATGCATCCGAGTTTTGAAAGGGGACTTTTTGTGAAGGTAATGATGGTGGGGGGTGTTTTTGATGGGAGGGTGTTGCGATTACAAATGTATTTGTAGTTGCAACTCAAGTTGTTGCGTTCACAAATACAGTCACAACTCGAATGTTGTTGTGACGGTTTAAATGTAGAGCGTGGATGCAACGCCCCTCATTTTTAGCGTACGTGAGTATTGCAACTACATCAAACCAAACACCCATAAATATAGTTGGAAGCACGTAGTGTTTCTAATCATATCAATCCAAACATACAACTAATGTTGCGGTTACATCTGTAGTTCCAAATCTAACCAAACGCAACCTTAGGTGGTTCTGTGTTTTAGATGCTCATAGACCGTTAATCCACTTGATCAGAGCTAATAAACTGATCATGTGAAGAGACTACATCTGATTAACCCAGCAAGTTTGATTAAAAAGCTTTAATTGTTTAATGAAATAAAACATTATTATATAAGTAGAAATGAACAGGATTATTATTGTTATTCAATCCGAAAAAACGAAAAAGGCGTTTATAAAGGTGATTAGCGAATTACAGCTTCAAATAATTTCTTATTTGAAAGTTTCGAGCGCGAGTAGGTGTAATTATGTGAAGAGGAAGAAGACAGGCCTTGGTGGGCCCCCAGGCCGCCCACCGTCTTTATCGGCTGACTGTGGAAATTCGGCGGAGGAGTTCCGAGTCCACACGGTTCAACATTCTCTCCTTTTCCATCTCCTTGCCTTTTTTTTATTATTTAGTTATTTTCTTATTCTTCTTCTAAGTAATATGTAGATTATAATAACAAGGCGTCGTAGAATTGCTAATGTCTTCGCACGTGCTTTGGCTTAAACCGATATTATTATCAAAAGCTCTGCAACTTGGGCGGCATTAATTTTAATCTATCACCAAATTAGACCGTGAGTGTAATTATGCAATAAAGTGATTTTCATAATTTTAAATTTTTTTTTATCATACTTTCTATTATTGTTTGGCCTTATGTGCAGAAGAAAAGGGCCCTGGCTTTGTAATTGCATGATGCAAGGCCCTGAATTTGGGTATTTAATTTGTTAGATTGTTATTTGACGTCTTGCTGCTTACGAGCATTTCTAGAGGCATTTCTCATTTGTTTGCTTCCTTAGGATTTTATTCTTTCCAGGGTGAGCGCTGGGATGAATGAAGTCTTTTCACATGACCCACTTCACAAACAACTTCAACCCATTCTGTTGATGTTTATTTATACATCTAGTTTTTGTTTTTCTTATGAGCTAAAATTTTGATGTATGTCGCACTCTACGAATATGGTTGTTTAAGGGGTAAATTAAACTAAACCCTAAACCCAACAAAAACTTTCAGTATTTGGCAGTAATCCCCCAATAACTTCAATCGAACTAAACCCCGAATAGCTCTGTTAGAAATGCAGAAAACACCCGATGACGTGTCCACGTTTTGCAGAAAATCCCCATGATAGCGTCCATCCACATATAGGGCTTATTTGGATGGGGTATTTTGCCCCGAAAATTGGGAGGAAAGTTGTCAAAATGGTAGTTTTTTGGCAGCCTTCCTCCCAATTTTTGGGGCGAAATACCCCATCCAAACGGACCCTTAGAATCTAAATGTGTTGCCAAC